CACACGCCCTGCGGCCCCCACCCCCACATTATGCCTTTACCGAGTCTCCCGGAAAACCATCAAGGAGGTCAGGTTTGCTGAGCATGAGCTGCCCCTCCCAGCTCGGCCCCACCATCAACCTTTCTCGCCTTGTCTGGCCTTCCACGACCTCACCTGGTGTCGGGCAGAGACCCTGTGTGTGGCTGAGGTCGGGGGTGAGGGCAGAAAGGGCCGGCATGCCGCCTCGGGCTGAGCGCCCACGGGCTGACACGTGGGTGCTGCGGGAGGAAGGAGGCAGGCCTGGGAGTCTCCGGAGGACACAGTCGTGGGCACACAGCAGGGGACGCGGGGTCAAGGGGGCGACTGAAAGGCACGATGGAGCGCCACGGGGACTGGTGATGCCGCTGCAGAAGGGCGGTGCTGCTGGCTCACGGCAGAGAGGGGGGCGGGCAGGGGCCCCGGGACACAAGCTGCAGCTTTCCAGACCAGGTCACCCGCCCCAAACCAGCAGGGTACCGAGAGCACCCGCAGGGTGGGCATCCTCCCCGGGACCGCCGCTCACCACCAGGGCCGGGGGGCCAGCACCCTCCACACGGTCCACTCGGGGAGGCCGAAGGGGACGCAGTCCCGCGGAGGAGCTGGGGCTGCCAGCGGCGTCAGAGCCTTGACAGAGCACCTCCCTGGGCCGCAGGGCACCCCAGTCGCCCCCCGATCCTGGCGGTGCTCCCCCCCGGGAAACCACATCAAGGGGGTCCCTTTCAAGTGGGAAGATGCTCAAGGTCTCATAGTCAAAGGCCAGGCCCAGGTCTCCACCTGCACCTGTGAGCCTCTGCTGCTGAACTTTGACCTCCACAAGCAACTATTTGTTTTTTTTTTTTTTTCATATACAAGAATCCAAGCAAAAGCAATCCCTTGTTCAGGCTTGTTGAATTTCTATGGTTGTAAAAATGGCTTTTTATTGATTTTCCTTGCAAATAAATAGCATTTCTGCCTGCATTTAACTTGGTTAAAAAAGCATTTGTGAGTCTGGAACCTGGGGATCTGTACTCTGACTGCCCCACACAAGGGACAGCGAATGTCCAGGCTCCGGTGCCCAGCACAGCCTTAAATGGAGGCCTCCCCACGGAGCCAACGAAAGCTCAGGGGCTTCCAGGCCGTGTCAGGCAACTGCAGGCTGAGGTCGGCGAGCCCGCCCCTAGAAACTGCAGCAAAACCCAGTCAGCTACTCCCTCCCCTCCCCCGGGTTATTAAACCTGCCCTCAGGCAGGAAAGAAAAGCACAGAAGGATGACTTGTCCCTAACAGGCAGACAATGGAAGGAATCTAACTTAATAGCCAGGACACAGGGGTTAAATTATACATCAGGCAGATTGCTTTGAAAGGTGTGTAGGAACACTGAACACTCCGCAGGCGGGGCGGGCCTGCTCAGGGGTCACCAACTTCAAGCACCTGAAGGCCTGGGGTGGTTCAGGTGGCCCACCTCAGTGTCCTGGGATGTAGAACCCCACCCCCACCCCACCCCCCGGGGCTGAACCGCAGGAGGCCCCAGGGTGCCATCAGAAGCGGCACCATTTAAAGTCAGGCAGCATTTAAAGCTTTAAAACGAAGACTCATCAGCTGAATGTCGTCCACGGCACAAGCCATTTGATGATCAAAAAAAAACAAACCAGGAGCAGCCCCACATGAGTGCAGATAAGTGGTGAATTTCTTAGAAGATTCAGAGCATTCTAATACAGCCATGCTTGAGGTTCTCCAGGGACCAGCATTTATTTTTTTCCTTATGCAGAAAAATCTTAATATAACCGTTTGTTTCAAAAACGGATCTACTCTCATTAAGGAAGTTTTGCCCATCTTAAAATTAAAAGGTAAGAAATACCCCAGAAAGCAAAAATTGTGAGACAGAAATAAACAGAAGCCTGGACAAGCAGGTATGCAGGCCGAAGTATTGAAAACAAAGTCCAGAGACAGAATGAAGTGAGCATCACAGTCAGACCTCCCAGCAGTGAGGTGTGGAGAGGAAGGGGAGCGGCATCGTGCCAAGCAGTCATGCTGCAAGTAGACGTCATGGCAGACTTTTCGCTGGGCCTGCAGTCTTCAGCACCCTTGTGTCCAGATGCCCCAAGTCCCCTCTGAACCCACACACTGCTCCAGAGCAGGACGCCCATCCTGACCAGCAGGTGACCCAGGGAGGTACTTGCCCTCTCCTGGCCAGTCACCAGGGACAGAGCTTTGCTAACAGCTATCACTGACATGGGTGCTGAGCACCTTCACAGCACCGGGCACCATCCTTAGTCCTGGCCTGTGTTAGTGCATTTAATCCTCGTGACAATCCTCTGGAATGGGGACCGCTATTCATTCTTAGACGAGGAAACTGAGGCAGAGAAAGCAAACCACCAGCCCAGGGAGATCTGGCCTCAACACGGGCAGGCCAGGTCCAACCCAGGTGGGCACCCGGAGACTCTGAAACTGGATGCCTCCCCTCACATCTCTCCTAAGGAGGTAACACTAGTTCTCCATCCACTTTAACATTTTTTTTTAAAAGCTCATGGCACAGAAGGACTTCGCCATTTCTGAGTTCAGCACATCTCTACATGGTTTACATGCATCCAGGCTCACAACCAGTGATGCCAGCTTTGGAAATACCTGGCCTAACCTGGAACAGAATTATCTCCTTCACTCGCCTACTCCACCTCTCTGGAAGTAACCCAGAATAAAATACCCTAGCAACAGTTTCCAAGGACTCCTTTATCTTTGGCAACCCTCAGGCATCATCATGAAAAGGTTTCTCTGTCCTAGAAATTCCGACTCTGTGACCACAAGACGGGAACAGGATATGACTTATTCGTACTTATAGAATAAGTCACATATGGAAATCACAAAGAAATATGAATACTCAATCCCAGAGTCTTTTTCCCCCTCCAGTATAAGGAAATATAATTAATTCCCACATATTGAAACATAATCCAATCATAAGCAAACAGACTGGCTGTTTCTGAAAAAAGCCAAATTAGTTTAATAACATAGACATGAGCTTAATATCATAAAAATGAATGGCTTTCTATGTGAATATGGTGAAGTAGTCAAATGATCAGACTGTTTAAAAAAAGATGTGGAATGAGAAACATAGAAATAATAACAGTATCCCATAACTGGATTCCAGGGACATCACCAAGTGATGCATATGCTGGAAAAGTTCACTGAAGAATATTTAACAGTCAGGCTTGAAGGATAATTTCATTTCTTAAGTCTAACAAGGGGCTTTCCTAGTGGCTCAGTGGTAAAGAATCCACCTGCAATGGAGGAGATGCAGGTTTGATTCCCGGGTGAGGAAGATCCCCTGGATGGCGGCGTGGCAGCCCACTCCAGCCCTCTTGCCTGGAGAATCCCACGGACAGAGGAGCCTGGCGGGCTGCAGTCCGTGGCGTCCCAAAGAGTCGGACACGACCGAGGGGACTGATCAAGGCACACACATCACAGCAAGGGGGAAACAAGCATGTAAACGACACCAACGTTTACGCAGGTTGGTGTGACCCAGACAAGTGAGGACCTGGAGGAGGTAAAGCACAAACGTTGGAGCTCTGTCCGCCTGACTCCGAGGATGAAGGGCTCAGGAAGAGCCGGGGAGAGAAGATCCTCCAGGCAGAGGGCCTTGATGGGGGCCGGGGGGGGCGGGAGGCCCTCCCGCCCTCCCTCTCTCCTGGGTAGATTGTGCCGGTGCGCCCGGGCCAGCTCTCCTCTCCATGGCAAGCCTCAGAGTCCGAGAACAGAAACTGACCGGGAAGTCGGCAAGAACACCCTGGGTCAGCAGGGCCTCCACCCTCCGGCGATTGCACTGATTAGTGTCTGCATCCATGGAGGGTTTCTCTAACAGCTCTGCTGACCTACTGTCAACTGGCACCAGCTTCTCCAGAACTTACTACTGCAGACAGGAAGGTGGCCCCGGGTGAGCGCGCTCACGTTGTCATCTGAACTCGAGAACCCTTAGGGGAGGAGCGGGGAGCCCTCCGGGCCTCTTACCAGAATCTCAGAGAAGTTCCCCCCACTTAACTGGAAGGCTCACTGCCCTCCCCGGGGGAGCTCCCCGACCCTCGAGTCCTCCTTGCTGAGTGGATTCCCGGGAAGTACTCTTTCAACGTTCCCCTTGGGTGAACAAGAAAGCTCGTAAACGTGAACACTGACTAAGGGAATTCCGAGGCCATAAGTGCTCCCACAGCCGGTCCCCCTTCTAGCGGAAACCTCGGTGCGCGCCACTCCTGCAACCTGTGACAGACCGCGTGCGCGCGGGGCCGGGGGCGGGGCCGCCGGAGACCAGGCCGCTTCCTTCTGCCCGCCGCACCCCCTCCGCCCAGGGCTCCCCTCGGCTGACGCGAAACCAAACCAGTCTCCCCTCTGCCACCCCCGCCTGGTGGCGGCCACAGGCAGCGAGGACTCCGGGAAGCCCCACGGCCGGCCTCGGATCCGATTGGTTACTCTCGGGGAAAAGCTCCCAAACTTCACTTCCGAAGCCCCGCGTGCTGTTACGAAACTAAGGGGCAAAGCCGCTGCCTTTTCCCGTGGGGCGCCCTCTTCCTCTGTCCGACTCCCGACTCCCGGGCCGAACCCGGCACGTGAGGCCGGGCGCGAGCATCCCCCTTTAGCCCGGCCCGGCGCCCATCTAAGCTTCCGCGGCCCCAGAGGCCGCCGGGCTCCCGGGAGGCGCGCTGGCGGGTGGGCGCCCGCGCCGTCGGGGCCCGAGGTGCCAGCCCCGCAGGGCCCCCTCCCCCGCATCCTGCAGACCCCCCGGGGCGCGGTCGGCCGCCAAGTCCTTCCGCGCCCCCCGGCCAGCGGCCACGGCCCCGTCCTGCCCAGCCCGTGTCCCGGCCCCGGCCCCGCGCTGGTCGCACTCACGTATCTGTGCACGAGCGTCCGCACCCGGCTGCAGTCCATGGCTCCTCCGGCCGCGCCCGCCCGATCAGCACCCCCAAGTCCGGCCACGCGCGCCCATGGGCCCGGGCCCGAGTGCGGCCGCGCGCCCCGCCCGGGTCACGGCCTGCGAGCGCCGGGCGGTGCGGGGGGCGGCCGCAGCCCCTCCGCGCTCATGCCCGGCCCGGCCCGCGGCGACCGGCGCAGGGGTGGCCGCTCAGCAAGGTGGCCGCTCGGCGGCCGGAGCCCGCGCGCCGGGGCTGGGGCGGTGGGGAGGCCGGCTGGGAGCGCCGATCGCACCGCCGCTCTGCTGCTCCGCGCGCCTCTCCACCGCCGCGCTCGCTCCGCTCTGCTCTGCTCCCGGCCTCGGCCCGCCGCCCCTCTCAGCCCGGCCTCCGGCGGCCCGGTCCCGGCGCGCACGTCACGGGCGCGTGTGAGCATGCGCCCCGCGGCCCGCGCCCCCGCCCCGCTCCCGCGCCCTCACCCCGGCCCTGCCCCCTCCCGGCCCGCCCCCCGGAGCCGGTCCGCCGAGAGGACCCCGGGGCGGAGGGCGGAGACCGGCGGGCGGGGACCGGCTCCTGTTGCTTCCGCCTCCCGGGCGGCGGTGCGCTCCCCGCAGCGGGGGCCTGGGTGGTGGGGACAGTGCGCCCGGAGCTGGGTCTGGCCGGAAGAGTCAATCTCCCCCAAAGGCCCGAGGGCGGGTGTGAGATCTGGGGAGTCGAGGAGGGGTCTTGGGGCGGGAATGAGGGGTCGGATCGGGCAGAAGACTAGCTAAACCGGGCCTTTGTCTCTGGGGTGCTCGCTGTTCCCCTGCGTGACCCCTCCTGCCTGGCAGGTGAGGCGGGGCTGGGCCCGTGGGGCTCCCCAGGATGTCGCAGCTCCTCAGCGTTGGAGCGAAGGGGAGGCAGGTTCTCCCACCTGGATTCTTTCTGAAACCCCACAGGCTCCCTGACCCAGGATTTCAGCGTTGAGATTGTCACGGGCTCTTGCAATCCGGCGGGGGTGAGGGGTTGGGATCTGCCTTGAACCTGTCTCACCAGCCTGGCCTGTCTTGCCTCCAGTCCATCTGGTCCACCTCCTGCCTCCGCCGGCAGCTGCACCAGGTGGTCACCAGGAGGCCCAGACCAGACCTCGGGGCATCCAGGCGCTGCAGGCATGCGCTCCCAGGCTGTCCCTATAGCAGAGGAGAATCTTTCTGTGGCTCAGACACCTCAATTTCAGTTCCAGGGAATGTTTCTGTTTTCCCAACGTTTTCCCTTCTCAGCCACAGTCAGCTAGCCTTGGATTAGTGAACGTACTTCTGTTCTTGCTGCCATGGGCCACCACTTGTGAAACCAGAGTGGCCTGACTACGCCTTTGGTGGCCGGTCAGGAGTGGGGCTCCCACCTCTGGGGGAAGGCAGCTGAGTGTCCCCCTGGCTGGTGTGGAAGAGAAGCTGCCGGACAGATGGGATTAGATAGAGTAGCCTACAAGGGCAAGAGAGACTAGTGGTCTTAGCTAAACAACCTGGATTCTGAGCTGCTTTTCTTCAGTATAATTCTCCAAGTTTCTGGTCAACTAACTCATTGATTCTCCACTTTCCAACCAAATCCACTCTCTCCTGCTCTGTGTCCAGGAGGCCCATGGCCACCATTATAAGCAGATCTTCACCAGCCGGGTGCCAGCTGCAGGCGGAGACCAAGCAGAGAGGCTGGTCTTTTTCCCTCCTCTGCCCACGGGGCCCACCCTGGCCTGGCGATGTCTGTGTCCCTTGGTGAACACAGTGCTTGTCCAGCTTCCTTTTCTGTTGGATCAACTCATGTCGGGCTCCAGGGACCATGCCTCCTACAGCCAGGCAGTGGTGTCAGCTAGGCCCTGGGGAACAGCACCTCTGGCAGGGCATGGAACTTTGACTACACTGCAGCAGATGGTCCTGTCACCATGCTCTTCCAGATCTCCTCCTGCCTTCTGCCTCCTGCCAGGACCCTGGCTGCTGGAGACAGATTCTGATTGGCCTACCACCTTGCAAACAGTGACGTTTGTGGGGGCGGGGGGAGTAGAAAGACACAGATAGACATCATACAACGCACCGGATAAAGGCTGGGTGTCTCTCAGGAATGCCTGTTTTATTCAGTGGTCAATGTTAATTTCGTATGGGAGTAGATACTGTGGTAGCCGCAAGCTTGCCTTCTTTGCCTTTGCTGGCAGAAACCCACCATGGCCCAGGTAGCCACCACCCTCTGTACAGCTGGGGTAAGCTGCTCTGTGTAAGCCAATCTCGGTAACTCCATGCCTCTCCCTGCAATTGGTTTAAAACAAGTTTAAGACAATGGATCCTGCTGTTGGGAAGTCTCCTCACATAAAGGAGGCTCATAAAGAGGACACGCTCCTGTTTCTTGCTGAAGCGGTGGGTTTGGATGTGATATCCGGTGCCTTGCAGCCTTCCCGCATCCATGAAGTGACAGGAACATCGTCACAGTGCGGATGGCATCATGGACAGACGGGAGGAGCGTGGGTCCTTGGTGACACCATGAGGCCACTGCACTAACTTGGATTTCATGTTCTGAGAGATATATAATCAATATCCTTATTGAACTGAATTTTCTGTTGCAGGCAGCTGATAGAATGCTAAGTCTAAACCTATGAAACAGACCAGTTAAGACTATACTAAGGTAACAGTAAGTCCAATTCATGCTGTGAATCAGTTATTTAATGGCAACCCACTCCAGTATTCTTGCCCAGAGAATTCCATGGACAGAGGGGCCTAGTGTACCAAAGTCCATAGGGTCAAAAAGAGTTGGACACGACTGAGTGACTAACTCACAACAAACCACACAAATGTGGGAGCTTAAACAACAGGGAACTGTTATTCCTCAGGTCTGTGGCTTGGTGGAAGATTTCTCTCTTTCATCTGTTCTTGGTTGGGATTGTTCATGAGCTGACATTCCTTTGGGGGCTTAGCTCACCTGGAGGGAAGGAGGTTCCGATGGCTCTAGTCACATGTCTATTGTTTTAGCAGGGCGAGTGGAGAGCTGAGAGCAAGTCGGCCTCTCTCTCTGTATTGGTGGTCAGCCTGAGCTTGCGTGCAGCTGGATCCCAAGACGGTCAGAATGGACACTGCCTGGCCCCTGAAAGTCTGGGCTTGGAAATCCTGGATCATCGCCTCTGCCTTGTTCTATCGGGAGAAGTAAGTCCAAGGCCAGCCTGGATTCAAGGGGAGTGGGCAGAGCCTTGTACATAAAGAATGAGAACTTGTGAGGGTCATCTTTGGAAACAGCCTACCTTAGACGTCAAAGGATGACGGAGTGTGTTGCCAATACCACGTGGGAGGTCGCAGAGAAAAGGCTGCTGGAAACTCAAGGACCTGTGCCTCTCTCCCTTCGCGACCAAGGGGAAGGGAAGCTCCACTCTGATTGAACCGGCTCTGCCCAGGCCTGACCAATCAGGCACTGGGGTGCTGACGTACCCTCTGATGACTGGCCTGGGCCTGGGCTAAGCGCAGACCGCTGGCTAACCGGTGTCCAGCGGGCTCGGCTCGGGGTCAGCGGGGCCTTGCCCTGACCCGCGCGCGGCGTGGCTTCCTCGCGGTGGCGGGCGGTGTGATGACCGAGGAGGCGGCCACGCCCCTGCCCACCTGTCCCCCACGCCTCCCTCCATCCTGCCCGGCGCCGGCGGAAGCCGGGGCTTCGGACTTCCACGTGAAGAAGTCGTGGGAGACAGGATGGAGGGGCAAGAAAGCGGCCTCCCCGTAGGGACGTTTGAGAGCAGTGATGGTACCGGGGCCTCAGGCGGCAAACCTGACGCCACCGATCGGTGCAAACACAGAGCAGAGAGGAGGGAGCGCTCCACGTTGTGTTCCCGGGTGGGGAGGGGCCGTCGTGCACGCGGGGCGCGGCCTCAGGTGAGCAGCCTGCTCCACTAGCGGCTGGGTCGCTGTCCCCTCCGCCCGCGATTATTTCGGGGTCCTCCTCCCGCCGATCGGGCCTAGAATTCTTTGGTGGAGAAATCCTTTCTATACCTCCCACAGGCTCCCACGTATCCCCCCCCCCACCTCGTCCTTTCGTCTGGAATCTTCTACCTCACCCTGTCTGTCCCACCAGGTCCTACTCGCCCTTGCAGCCCCACTGGACTGTCTCCTCCCTACACCTGCCTGCGCAGCGACTCTGAGTCCCTCCCTTGTGTCCCACCAGGTCCTACTCGCCCTTGCAGCCCCACTGGACTGTCTCCTCCCTACACCTGCCTGCGCAGCGACTCTGAGTCCCTCCCTTGGCTTCCTACTGGGACCACCTACTTAACTTACCCACTTGTTCAAAAGGGCATTTCTAAGCCCTAGCCAGGGCCTGCCCCAGGGTCTAACCCGGTTTTTATGTATTTATTTATGGCCGTGCCACACGGCTTGTAAGATCTTAGCTCCCTAATGGGGGATTGAGCCCCGGGCCCATGGCAGTGAGAGCTCCGAGTCCTAACTCGGAGGGCAGGGGTGCGGTCACTGCGGATCCACCTTCCACGCCTTCCCACAGCCTCCTCGGTCATCACACCACCCACCACCTCGCGTGGGTCAGGGTAAGGTCCTGCTGACCCCAAGCTGAGCCCAGCTGGACACCTGGACTGCCAGGGAATTCCCGTTCAGGGAGTTTTTAAACATATCTGCCCCTCAGGACCCCTCCTCCGGCCCAGGTAGCGTGGGATCAAACCATGGAGCACAGGATCCTGGCAGGTGTTTCTCAAAAGGATGCAGCAGGTGTGAGGCCTGCTGGTCTAGACGTCTGTACCGCTGGAGCGGGAAGGTGCATGGGACTCCGCCCTGCACAGTCCCCTGTAAAAGAAGAAGCTCAAAGAATGGCGAGCGAGCCAGACACAGCTATGCTGCAGATTCAGCCTCTGGGCATTCATACAGCACAATAAAGGGCGGGCTTTCCAGTCTGTCTGAGCACATGTGGAGGAAAAGTAGCAGGCCAGATGCACTCCGGACAGATGCTCGGGCCCTGAGAGGTGAGCTGGAGGTCACCCCATGCACGAGGCTCCGCTGGACCGTTTCTCATGGGAGGTCCCCCCACGCGGGCGAAGCTGTGGGGCAGCGCCACCCAGTCATTTTCAAAAGTCTGGTTTAGTGATTCATTACACAGGTATCCAGAAGTGGAAAGTTAAATTTCATTATCACTCTTAATCCAAAATATGTGACTGGTGTGAGAACCAGCCTCAAAGAGCAGGACAGAACTGTGCATATAGCCCTGGTGGGAGCACTCAACAAAAACCCCACCAGCTCCCTGGATTCCGAGTCCCACGCTGGTCTAATGGCCCATCCTGGGAGACTGCGCCGTCCTGCGTCCTTGAGGCTTTTTCCCTTCTGTCGCTCTGAGCCCTTTCCTCCTTTGGGGTGTCAGATGCAGGTCAGGACTGAGTCCCGGGCTGAACGCAGTCTCCAGCCCCTTCCCGTCTGTAGTAAAGTGTTCATTGCCCAA